TTTTTTTTTTTTTTTTTTTTGGAAATTAAAAAAGAAAAAGAAGAATAATTATGAAACGGGGATCGAAAGTGAAGGAGGTTTGTGGTGCAGTTGAAGACGAAGGTGTCTGCGATTTTTCATGGCAGTCGCTAAAAAAGAAATTATCTGTCACAAAATCTTACCCGCCTTTTTTCCTTTTTACTCTCTAACTGTCTCTTTCTCTCTCTTTCCTCATTGTTTGTGTGTAATAATAACTAGTATTTTGGACCACTTCCCACCACAACGAAATCTACAATTAACCTCACTAATACAAAAGTTTGAGCCTAATTATGATTTATCCTTATCCAACAAAACTTGTGTGTGTCCGTACATGTAAAATTCACTGCAGAAGTTCCGCATGTTGTCTGTACATGTCATAATTTACATTGAGTGTTTTTTTATTTATATACAAGCGATATTAGAAAAACCGAACTCAAAACATCAGATGTAGAGGGTAAATGCTCTTACAATTTTATCATATGTTTGGTTGCTCAACTCATTTTACCTTTCCAACTTGTATTTATACATATGAAATCTGATAATTAAGAATTTTTGAATGTTCCCTAGTTCTTTTTTTCTTCATCCTCCCAAGCTTCTTAGGGATATTGCATGAAACAGAGAGATACCAATCTTGTTTTTGTTCGTAAGTTGCGATGAAATCTTCAACCTCTTTGTCCTTTTGCCTTAAAAGGCGAACTTTGACAAAACGGGCTTATTCTCACTAAACACAATTATTTGATCCTAAACCTTTTGTTCCCAAGTGGCAAGACATGAAATTTCTTTTTCCTTTTGGACGGTGCTACTTTGAAATATTTTTCCAACTTTTCTTAGATTTAGACGAAATGAATTCATATCCTAAATTGACTTTAAAAAAAGATCATGGGGCAAATAAAAAATTAATTACAAGTTCAGGGGCAAATCAATAGTTTACTCTTATAGATAACAACTTGTCCCTAATTGTTATCTAATCCAAGGCTGCTAAGATATATGCTTGCTGGGTGAAGAAAGATACTCGCCCAACAGCTTTTCTCAGCGCTTCATGACATTGATTGAAACTTCATTGTTAGGTGCCAATAATAAGTTGATGACCAAGTTTTGCTAGACCCACAGACAGTGCAGGGTCGCATATTCAATGAGAAAAATAAATTCCAAAACGGCCATAAATTCCAATGAGAATAACCGCAACAATTTCCACTCTGAAATTTCAAGTTCTGTTAATATTTTCCATCATTCCACATCAAAAATAAAAGTTGCATCTCCATATTCCCTTTTTTCTAATTTCAAAATTGGTTTCTACGAGGCCAAGGACAAAGTACAATTAACAGTAAAATTCTCAAATTCTTCAGAGTATAAAATGAACCTACTGTGTAGAACTCATCCCCAAAACCTACTAAGGAAGCCACTTTTGTCTTTCCTCATCCTATGTTGAAGAGACGGGAAATCAATGTGGTTATAGGCAAGGTCCAGAACAATGGGATTGCGAGGTATTGATTGAAACGAAGGAGGGAAAGCTTCAATCCGCGGAGCACTTTTCACATTGGATTCACCAACTGCAGACTCATAGACATCGAGTTTCTCAAGGAGGAATTTCTCCACCTGAAAAATATCCAAATCAGCAAATCACAGAAACGTAATAATAGACTCAGGCACATTCTGAAAAAGATCCAAAACAGCAAATCTTCCAAAATGAGCATAATCACAGAGATCCTAATAGGCAATTTTGTCAGAAAAAACTTATCCAAAAGAAGGAAATTTAGCAAAGTATCACTAGTTTGGAGTCTCAGTTTCTCACAACCTAGATAATACATAATAGTTTAAACATCTATAGAAAAGCCTAACTAGTACACAACGAAAAGGCCAGTTCTTGAATCTGGATGGTCTAAGGTCTGGGCAAGCCTAGACAGGCCGAAGACCACCTTAATTGTCCAGATTCAAGTACACCTCTTCATTTCTGAACCCAAATGGAGAGCAGCCTGATCTGGTATGCAAAACTATCATGGCTGACACATTTATACATTAACCAAATAAAATGCTGAACACTTGTTAACTAAATAGGTTATATCTCATTAGCCAGCAATTTTTCTAGCCAAATTACAGAGTTTCTGCACAACATTGGTTTATTCTTTGTGGGTGAGGAAAAGACTAATTTGTACCTTCTTATCAACGCCAGTTAAATTGATACTGGATATCTTTTTTGAAAGATTCTCAGGAGCCTTAAGCTCCTCCATGATCCCTGTGGCATGCTCTATACAACTGTTAGATCTGCACTCATCACACAATATCTTCAACTCTTCGATGATCATCTGCTAAAAGGAAAAAGACAGAACCAATCCAAGTTAAATACTAATTCATCTTAGAGCTTATTCATGAAAGTTGGTATATGCTATGACAAGATGTCAACTAAATGAAAGTTTTAACTCAAGAAGACCTTTGTTTTTCCCAGTTGCAATGGGAACCAAAAGTCACAGATTAAAATAGCCTAGCTACACAAGATACATCTGACAAAAGAGTATTTAATCATAGTAAAGAGGTCAATCATATTTATTCAATGTTTATGCAAATATACTGACAAAAATAAGAAGCACACACTAGTACGCACCTGATCACCATTATTCACAGCTTGGACTTTCTGTAGGGCAGTCTCGGCAAGAGAGCGAGCATGGCAGTACAATGCATATGCTTCTACCCTCTTACCAGCCAAGCTGTATGATCTTCCCAAAAAGAAACACCTGACAAAGAGTTGGGATGCCTATAAATTTATAGAATGGAATAATATCCCTTGACACCCAAATACCAAATGATAAAAGCAGAACCTTGATTATTTGTTTAAGAAGCAAAGGTAATTTAACAAGCATGAATAGAGATATAGTGCATACTCGACATTATATGCGGTAACTTTTTCTAAGGAGTGAAACAAGAAGAAAGAGGATACATAAATTGGTAACTATTCCTAAAAGGCAATTAAAATGCAAGAAAACCACTTTGTGATGTTTACATAAATAGTCCTACAAGGGCAAGAGAAAAATCATAAGAGATTAATGTACTATGGCCAATGATTTTATGGAAGATAAAGGTGTCCTGATATCAAGATTCAATGAGAAAAGACAAATACAGAAGCAATCCCCAAAACGTAACATTTATGAACAGCAGTAAGCCAAAAAAGAAATGAAAAGAAAAACCTCTCTGCTCGGAAAGCCAAACTTTTAAGTTCACAATCTTCAGTGAACGCTACTTCTTCTGGTTTTCTATCTCTTCCAGAACTGACTAAATCTGAAAGATCGGATGTATTCTGCCAATCATAGCAACAATTACATAAGGTATTCAATTTTTAGCCTCAGACATCAGCCTCTAACAAATTCAGCAATCAATGGTAAAAGATCTCCACAAAAAGAAAGTCAAGAAAGAAACAATGCAAAACAGAGACATCCAACCTGTAATAAGAGATCATATAACCGAACGAGCTCTTCAGGCTTAGTAGCTTTCTCGTTTTTGTCATCACGTCGTTTGGTGAGTTTACTCTTTGCATTGTTAACTAACAGTTGGTTGCGCTCAATAGTTCGTTGTCCTAAAACAGCACTAACAGCTTTGTCAAGGCCATTCAGGTCATCCTTCACATTTTCAGAATTACCTGCACTGGCCTATATACAACGCTTCAGGAACAACAGAATGAAGAATACAGAGTAATGCTGAAGCACGAGACAGAAACAAATGTCCCTCTTAGGGGAGGCATCAAAAACAGAAGTGTTCTAATATTGAGCAACTTCCATACCAAGTCATTGCGAATGCAGCTCCTTGCCTCATGGTATGCAGTAAAGATTTTGTCAAAAATGCCTAGTTTTTTCTCTGGTGGGAGTGAATTAGCTGATGAACCAAGTACATCTTTCTCCAATTCTTGTGCTGAACAAGGTTATCACATCAAAACAAAACATGGCACTTTATTAGGATTATAAACGTGAAAAAAGAAATAAATAAAAATTATATGACGAATCAGACACTATATTTGCACACAATTTATTTATGTCGGAGCCATTATATTAAGAAACAAATAAATTAAACAAATTACTTACCTTTTAAAATGGAAACTCGAGTTTTTGGATTCGATATTGGAAATCTATGACCAAGCCAATGAAACTCTGTCATGGAGGCAGCCTGTTGAGATCTCGCCTCAGCCATAACAGCCTGTATCCGAGTTTCTTCAAGTCGTCAGTAGAATAAAAAGAAGCCTCTGAGGGATAAAGGAAGGAAAAAGCATCACATGTTTGGTTTACTTTTAATAACAATCACACTTACCTCCAATTTAGCCTTGAAGAGGTCAAGAGCAGGTCCTTCCATCTCACCAATTTGTAGAAGTTCGGAGGCTTGTAGATTTGACTCTCCAACCTTGTGTAGGCAGTATCGAATACTAGGTTCTAATTCTTCAACACGCTCACGGCACAAAACTTGACTCTCCAGGTCCCCGTATTTCGCAAGTTCCTCATAAACAGCCCTATAACGTATTAACAAAGTTAGCCATACACTATTCATTAAACCAACAATACTTGACTCCATACATGCATATCCATCTCAACTCAAATGCTGTGTCTGTTCCATAAGAATTGTCTTAATGGAAAGCTTAATTTGCAACAAAAAGCAATTAGAGAAATTATGTTTCATTTTTCAGTATTCACTTTAATAGGTTAATGCTTCTGATTGTTGATCATGAAGACTTTTGGGGCAAACAAAACTAAAGGCATCACATTATTTGAAACGGGATTCTTTTATAATTTTTTTAAGGTGGACTTATCGATCAAGGGGAGACAGTTCCCATCCATTTCTAATATACAAACAGCATTAAAGAATCTATATAGTTTGAGAGAAGAATGAACCTGGCACTTTTGAAATTCATTAATGCTGTGTCCCAATTTTGATCTTGTTCAAACAGCAAGCT